CCTGAGTAGCTGGGATTACAGGCACGCACCACCATGCCCAGCTAATTTTTGTATTTTTAGTAGAGACGGGGTTCCACCATGTTGACCAGGATGGTCTCGATCTCTTGACCTAGTGATCCACCCACCTCAGCCTCCCAAAGTGCTGGGATTACAGGCGTGAGCCACCGCGTCCGGCTATCTAAGACTTTTTTTAAAAAGTAGGCCAGGCGCAGCAGCTCACGCCTGTAATCCCAGCACTTTGGGAGGCCAAGGTGGGTGGATCACCTGAAGTTGGGAGTTCAAGACCAGCCTGGCCAACATGGTGAAACCCTGTGTCTACTAAAAATATAAAACTTTGCCAGGCATGGTGGTATGTGCCTGTAATCTCAGTACTCAAGAGGCTGAGGCAGGAAAATTGCTTGAACCCAGGAGGCAGAGGTTGCAGTGAGCCAAGACTGCATGACTGCGCTCCAGCCTGGGCGGCAGAGCAAGACTCCATCTGAAAAACAAAACAAAAAAGTAGTATGGGATGCTATTAAATACAGAAGGGCCTGATCTAATGTGGAGACTGATCATGCAAGGGTTAATAAGGGATTTCATATGCTTCATTCTTTTCATTTCACTCCCATGGAAAAATACGCTAGACTGATTAATAGGTCTGTGTTCCCAACTTCTGATCTCCTTGCCTCCCCTACAGCCCCATGAGATACACTGAAGAGACAGTTCTCCTCTTTTCTTTATGAGTTGGCTCAGAGATGAGAGAGCCCTGTAATGTTCCAAATTAAGTTTCACCAAACATCTTGAAAATATTCAAAATAAGCACACAAGTAAAATAGACTAACCGACAAGTCTAAGATGTCTCATTGCATTTAGAGCTATTAATGGAAGGAATAACTTCGCTAGTCCAGGCAACATACCAGGCACATTTTGATAAACAGGAAGTCCTTTTTAGAGCAAACGTAAATTTATGGTTCTGGGGGGTAAGCTGATCACATGGGATAGTGCCACGGAAAAAGCATTTTGCAGCATGCAACTATGATCAATACAAGCAACAGGAAGATAATGCAAAATCGTGTGATAATAAATACCTTGGCTGGGGGAGGGAGCTCATGCCTGTAATCCCAGTGCTTTGGGAGGCCAAGGCAGGAAGATCTCTTGAGCCCAAGAGTTTGAAATTACAGTGAGCTATGATCGGACCACAGCATTTCAAGCTGAGTGATAGAGTTAAGAAACTGTCTCAAAAAAAGAAAGAAAAAAGAAAAATGTAAAAGTAGCATTTAGACGACTTTTTTTTTCTGCTTTTAGTTATTATCCTGGCCAACACTCCAAATCACAGATGTGGGCAACATCTAACCAAACTTAAGGCAGCTTCCTCCTGCAGGCTTATGAATGGAGCATCCCTCAGACCGTGGAAGATAAACATGGCTATACCGCTGCCTCTGCTTTTATAGCTCATGTGAGTCAGGGAACGCTGTAACTTGTTTATGTGATTTCAGGAGTCAGGCAGAATAAGTGCCCCTTAATATAGAGTAGGTTTGGGGTTTTTTGTTTTTTTTTTTTTTCTGTTCATGTCTTGAATATTAAATGGCTGCCCCTTAGAGGGAGTGATTCTTCTCTAAAGCTGCAAAAGCTGAGCCATATGGGAGAGAAGCAAGGGGCCTTTCCTTTCCATATTTGGAAACCAGGCTTCATTTGTGAGCAGGAGAGAATAATGTGACCAATTTATGACTGGCTTAGTGGTGTTGTTGTTGTTGTTGTTGTTTTGCCACCCCCCACAGTGTTCTTTTTGAAATAACACTCAGGGCCGGGCACAGTGGCTCACGCTTGTAATCCCAGCACTTTGGAAGGACGAGGCAGGCAGGTCACCTGAGGCTAGGAGTTTGAGACCAACCTGACCAACATGGAGAAATCCCCTCTCTACTAAAAATATAAAATTAGCCAGGTGTGATGGTGGGAGCCTGTAATCCCAGCTACCCAGGAGGCTAAGGCAGGAGAATTGCTTGAACCTGGGAGGCGGAGGTTGAGGTGAGCTGAGATCAAGCCATTGCACTCCAGCCTGGGAAGCAAGAGCAAAACTCCATCTCAAAAAAANAAAAAAAAAAAAAAAAAAAAAAATCAGTACTGTGGACTGTGGACTGCTGCAGGGATTCATGTAATAACAGAAATTTCAGTCATCGTGTATCTAACGACGATTAATTACACAGTCATGTATCTATAAAGTTTGTAAGCAGGCTAGAAACATATGTTCTATGTCTGTATTTGTGTTTAGGTGTCACTAGTCAGCTCATCCATCATAGTGATGACAGACAAGCTGTGTCAAGCCCTGTATTTTTGCTCTCATTTGTGTCCCTTGTTCCTCATCCTTATGCAGCAGCCTGGATATCCAATAGAGTGATGAGCGCTAAGCATTCACATGTTCTGACCATCACCTCTTTTCATACCTTCTTCGTGGCTCACAGGCTTGGGTCGCACCTACCCCCATTTATCTTCCATCTTCATCACGTGGACAAACCGGCTCAGACCCCAGGCTTCCTGGGAAGCAGTGTGGTCCAGCACAGCAGCGTAGGATCTGGAGGTCTTTCCATTCCTTCCCTTCCCTTCCACTCTACCGTCAGCTTGGTTTCTGCCCTGCCACTCACTGAAACTGCTTCATCAGGACAGTGGGTGACATCCCTAGTTGCCAACACTGCAGGCACTTCACGTTCCCTATTTGATCCATCCACATGCCTGAGGTTTCAGCTCTCACCGAAACATTTCTTTTCTTTTCTTTCAAATATTTCCTTCCTCCTGTGCTCCAGGCCTGTAGATGCAACTGCCTGCTGGACCCGGATGTTTCCCAAAACTTAGTGCATCAACAACAAACCCACCACCTTCCTCTCAAACTCTCTGCATCCCTAGCAAGGCAAATGGCCCCCCATCCACATGGCCTGGTGAGTACTGTGGAGTGCCAGGCCACATCGTCTCTTCTCCTTGTCCTTGCTGACAGAGCCTACATCTTGTTCAGGTGTCCACTGTGTCCATTCCTGGTCCAACTCCAGGGTGGGCCTGATTTGGTCAAAAGGGTATCCTAGTCCCCCTGACTGTGACCAAATTCTAAGCAGTAAGAAAAGCCAATCGACTGACACTCGACAAGAGACATTTTTTGTCTAGACGCTGTAATCTGGATATGACATCTGGAATTTCAACTTCAGACAGAGAAAGAAGCCCACTCAGAAAGAGGCACAACAAAAGAGGAAAAAAAAGAAACTGGGGCCAGCTGTGGTGGCTCACGCCTGTAATCCCAGCACTTTGGGAGGCCGAGGTGGGTGGATCATCTGAGGTCAGGAGTTCGAGACCAGCCTGGCCAACATGGTGAAACCCTGCCTCTACTGAAAATACAAAAATTAGCCAGGTGTAGTGGTGGCTGCCTGTAATCCTAGCTACTTGGGAGGCTGAGGCAGGAGAACTGCTTGAACCCATGAGGCAGAAGTTGCACTGAGCCAAGATTGTGCCTCTGTACTCCAGCCTGGGCAACAAGAGTGAAACTTCATCTCAAAGTGAAAAAAAAAAAGAACCTGGGATTGTGATAACCCATTAAGCTGCCGAATCCATGGCCCAGGGTGAGCCTATTATGAATCCCCCATCCATCTTCTATTGTTGGAGATGATCTCCTTTCTGTTGTTGATGCCAATTTGGGTTGCTATTGCTCACAGCCAAAAGTTTCTGTCCTCTGTTTCACATCAGATGCACCGAAGAGTCCTGTCAGTCTCCACCAAAATAAATCCCCAGTTCCCCACCACCACCACTGATCCATCCCTACCGCCAATATCCTAGTCATTCATTGCCTAAATGACTTCAATATGTCCCCCTGATCTCCTCTGTCTCAAGGCAACCCGACACTAAATCTCAACCCCTCAGGATAAACTCTGTGTTTTCTTCCTTCAAGGCACTTACAACTATGTCAAAGTATCCTGTTTACTTATTTATTGTTGTCTTCTCATGCTACAGCACAAGTCTTACGAGGACAGTCAGCTTGACTCTTTTTTTGGGGGGGACAGGATCTCTCTATGTCGCCCAGGCTGGAGTGAAGTGACACAATCTCAGCTCACTGCAGCCTCCGCCATTCAGGTTCAAATGATTCTCCAGACTCAGCTGCCAGAGTAGCTGTGATTACAGGCATGCACCTCTCCCTATGTTGCTCAGGCTGGGCTGGACTCTTGGGCTCAAGCAATCCTCCTGCCTTGGCTTCCCAAAGTGCTAGGATTATAGGCACGAGCCACCGCACCCTATCATTTCTTTTATTCAAACCACTTTATTTAGGTATGATTGACATATAAAAACTGCACATATTGAATGTAAACATCTGGATGAGATTAGGGATAAGTAAATATACACTTGTGAAACCATTACCACCATTACGGCCATAAACAATACTCATCCCCTCGCAGTTTCACTGCACTTCCTTTATTATGATTGCTGCTATTTTTGTGGCAAAAACTCTTAACACATTAAGATCTACTCTCTTAGCAAATTTTTAGTATACAATACTTTTTTAAAGAGATAGGTGTCTCACTATGTTGCCCAGGCTGGTTTTCTCAAAGTCCTGAACTCAAGTAATCCTCCCCCATCACCCTGTGCCCATTGAGTATTCATGGTGTCCTTGACAAAAATTAGTTGTTGGCTGGGCATGGTGGCTCACACCTGTAATCCCAGAACTTTGGAAGTCCAAGATGTGTAGATCACCTGAGGTCAGGAGTTTGAGACAGCTTGACCAATATGGTGAAACCCCACCTCTACTAAAAATACAAAAATTAGCCAGGTGTGGTGGTGTGTGCCTGTAGTCCCAGCTACTCAGGAGGCTGAGGCGGGAGAATTGCTTGAACTTGGGAGGCAGAGGTTGCAGTGAGCCAAGATCCGGCCATTGCACTACAGCCTGGGCGACAGGAAAAAAAAAAAAAACTTGTCCATGGGAGGCTGAGGCAGGGTGATGGCTTGAGTCCAGGATGGGGAACACAGTGAGGCCTTGTTTCAAAAAAAAAATTTAAAAACTAGCCAGACATTGAAATATGCACCTGTAATCCAGCTCCTCAGGAGGCTAAGAGAATTGTTTGAGCCCAGAGGCTACAGTGAGCCATGATCACGTCACTGCACTCCAGCAAATAGAGCGAGACCCTGTCTCAAAAAAGAGAAGGGAAGGAAGGAAGTTATCAGAGAAGGAATGTGTCCACCTAGGTGTCCACCTAGGTACAATACTTGTTTATATATAGGATTAATAAAAGATCATGGGGAGATGTGCTCTGCTACAAGGGTTTGTGATAGAGGATTAATTTTCCTAATTACTATGTTGTGCAAGAATCGATATTATTATCTTTTAAAGCAAAATTAGGAATGCTTCTGTTCTCAAGATATTGCGATATCAGGACACTCTTAAGTCTGGGTCACTTTAGTAAACATTATCAATCTGTTCCTTTAACCGTAACATCTGGAGGCCAGGAATACCTGACTTTCCGGGAATGCAGTCCAGCAAGTCCCAGCCTCATTTTTTGTTGCCCTTAAGATGGAGTCTCTCTGGTTCGAACACCTCTCACATATTTCTCCCTTCCCTTTACAAGAGGACCCTTAATCCTAAAGTTTGCAAAGGGACAAAGATCTGTCTTCTGTAACTCCTTCAGGTTGAATAGGAGTGATGATATTCCTGCCTAATTATTGGTTCTCCTGCATTCAGAGTAGAGAGGAGCTCAGCCAGAAAGCTTTGGTATCATGAGGGTTGTTCATAACTCCAAGTTCCAACAAAAGGCGATATCTGGAAGCTTAGTAAGTGTCCAGTTTAAGTAAGCTTGTCTTGCATTCCTACACAAAGAATACAACCACAATATATTCCACAACAGCAAAACAAAATAAGTAAATTCATTCCAAGTAAACTAAACAGAAAGGCTTTCCAAGAACTGGGCAGTTACTGAAACCAAGCTGATATAGGGTAGACTGAGAGTACATTAATGGCAGAGATATGAGTGTCTAAAGCTTTCCCAGCCTCAGTAATGTTATGTGAATAGTCTGGAACATACACACAACATTTGGTTTTGATCAAGGCACAAGCTCCCCCTTGGGCCACTGTTAAAATGTCCAAAGCCATACGGTTTTGTAAGCCTACCTGCCTAATCTGAGAATTTTCTTCAGGATGGTAAGGGCATGGCATGTATTATTGAAAGCTGCAGCCATGTGCTTGGCTAAGGCTTTAGCTTGTAACTTGGTA